AATTATAAAATGAGTTTATTCATCTGCAGTGTTAGTGACAATCCTAACGCAGAGACTAACCTGCATGTACACGTGGGGAGAACGTCCTGAGCATAGCTCTAAACTTTTTAGATGGTTAAGTTTTTAAAGTGTGATATAAATTGCAAAACAGGAATTGGGTTTCCAAACAGCTCAGATTGTAAACCTCAGGTTTCTGTACTCTACATTATTTTTAAGTTTGGGGCAGTAGTTATCTCTGAGAGTTTTCTAAGTGGTAGCCTACACTTTTACTTGTTCACAAAGCAATAGAAAAATGACAAGAGGACTCAGTAAGAAAAAAAAAAATATTTTGGGTTTCTGTAGTTATGCACGGCCATTCTGTAGTTAGATCCCTATCACCACCTCTAACATCAGACCCCACTTGCTCCAGTGTTCCACTTACTGGCCGACTTCCAGTCCCTTAAAAGAAACCACACTTAACGACCTCAGGACCTTTGCTCGTGCTGTGCCCTTTGCTTAGAGTGAGCTGATTTCCACTTTCCTTTCTTGGCTTCACTCATCTAATTTTCACTTGTTCAGATTTTAGTCCAAATGTCACTTCCTTAATGAAGTTTCTCCCAGTCCCCAGAATAATCTATCTTTCTGTCTCTTCTGCATGCCCTCCCTCTGAAAGCAGGAAGCCCACATTTTTGCACACCTTGTGGATGCTCCAGTTTTCAAGTCAGTAAATAAATGTGGTACCCAAGACACAGTCATTATGCTTCAATGAAACTTCATCTATTTAGAAAAATAGGACTAGAAAGGATCTCAAGAGGTTAGTTGTACCTTTCCCTAGTCTTTAGGTGCCAGTGGTAACCAAGCAGAAGTACATATTGCTAGAACACGTAACAACTACATCTATTATGCAAACAAGTCTGTGCAAGCAACTGTGATAAGAACTCCATCTTCAGGTTGCAAGTTTCGGGAAGCAGAGATAGAAGTGCATGGCCAATTACATGCATGCTCTGTTCCTCTGGGGGTAGAGACCACGACTCCACTTGTCCACATTGTGACAGTATGTCCTGGACATGCACAGCCCATGTCTCTGTAGGTTCTGGTTGGTGGAGCAGGGAAGTCATTGACCTGTAGAGCCACAGGCTGCTGCCTGGTCCATTATTCAGACTGTGGATTCTTGTTGATTTGTGTATTTGTTTGTTTTACAATTCCTGACTCACTGCTGAGGCAGAGGTATGTGACTCTCAATTGTTCTATTCTGAGGAAGAGGTGAAAGCCTTTAGAAATGGCATTTCTTACACGTAGGATGTTTTACTAAGATGCCCTAAGAATGGAGGTCATTTCATCCTAACTATTTCGACTTGCAATGGGTGTCAGGAAAGACCTCGTATGTCAGCTGGTTACTCTCTAACCTTGAAAGGCCTATTTTCTGCTCTTGCCAACTCCTTGATGCAGCTTATCTGGAAGAGAGGATTGCTATTGCTGTCTAGTGCCCATAATTAATCCTGGAGACAGTGAGGATTTAGGACCACTGGTTGTGGCTCACTTCAAATTAAAAAGTCACTGTTAGCGTGTGAAACAGACACCATATGTTATCAATGAACCTTTTCAGTGATGTAGAATGTCAAGATGGTCCGTATGTAAACACAAGTCACATTTAGGGGAGCTGCTTTTACGTGCACACTCTCACACTCTCCAAAGATGTCACAGACACGCATACATGGAGAAACAGTGTTTTTCCTTCAGTGGGTCCCCAGAAAACACGTCCGATTTTAAACACGACTGTAATGCAAACCTCAAATTACCAGTTATGAAAGTTGTCTTTCTCTTTACCATCGGTGTGGCGGGGACAAACAAAGGCAGACACCGGTCCGATTGGTTAGTATAATCCAATTGCTGAGCTGAGCTTCTCTTCTTGTTCCTGCCATGACTAATTTGTGGTTTCACGAAGTGTTTCTGAATGTCAGACACATCAATTATGAGAGATGGGCAGGATGCATGAGGGGAACCACGAGGGGGAGGGACGCTGGAAAAATGTTTACCAGGAACTGAAGCCGTGATTGCAGCCTGGCTTCCTGTGTGTTCACAAGAGCAAGTCTCTGATTTAAGAAGGCGGCTGGATTATTTCCCAATTAAAGAACAAACTCTCTGTCCACCGCCGCTTGGAACTGCAGGCTATGGGGCTAGCGGCCCCACTCGCCTTCCTAATTGGCGCCCTCCTTTCTTTCGGCTGGTCTAGTTGCTAAACACAGCAATGGCACCTTCGCTCTGTCGACAGTGGCGCTTTAAGGGAAGGCTGGGTTAGGTGTTCACAAGCACATTCTCCAAAGGTGTTTATTTTCCAAGGCTATAGTGATTTTTTTCCCCCTACTGAAACTCTATTATATACCCTTTTGTTGTCATGGCTGAAGCCTGTTGTTTCTGCAAGAACAACAATAGGCCTGAAGATTAGGGTTGCATATTATGGGCCTAGCAGCCCAGCAGGGCATCGTATTTGTATCAATCCTATAAATTCCTGGCATCGGGCCTCTTTGCTCCTGGTAATTAATCTTTTTCATAAATGCTGTCATGTTTAGAGCTGTTTTATTAAGTTTCTGGTCGTAAACATTCTATATGCCACTCCTTTGCCTCATCAGTGTCAGAAAGGAAAATAGAAAAACAGCAACAAAACAACCACAACCACAGATGAGCTTTCCCATTAGGCTCCCTTCCTGACGAGCTTGTCAGGCAATCAGGATGGCAGGGTCAGCCTCTCGGTCTTCCTGAATCCCAGCCCCTTCGCCCAGCTTTCAGCTCTGTGTGTTGATTTGCTCCTTCCTCTCGTTCCTGTGGGTGCTTAGCAAGACTGGATTCTTCTAGTCACCCGGTCCCTTGTCAAACACTGGGCTAGCGACTCCAAGAGGAAGCCCCGCTCCCTGCCATTGGGCGGGCCCTCCAGTGCAGGCAGTAGGGCTGAATTCTGTCCCTTCGGCCTCTTCTGGGATTGCAACGGCATTGGCGTGTGGCGGTGTGAGCAGCTTTTTTCTTTGGCCCACTGACCTAATTGCAATAGGGGAGGTAAAATATTTTCATTACCCTCTCCCCCAGAATATAGAAATCTTCAAAGGGAACCTGGGAGGGAGGTTAGCCTCTTAACCCTAATTTCCCTACCACTACCCCAGCTTGGCTGTGCATCACAAAATTAGTCTTTAGTCACTGAACGTAGTGGCACCAGGATTGTTGTCGGTTTTGCCTTTAAAAACCATTTCATATTGTAAACCCAGCGATTATTTCACGCTGTTTAAACTATATTTTTAGTCTTTGATCATGCATAAGTAGACTCAAGTTAACTGCTGATAGAATGATGATATTGTTTTCCGTGTTTCTTTTCCTTTTTCTTCCCTGCCTTTAAGGACTCTGTGCCTAGGAGCTGGCATCCAGAAACTTCCATTACTACATTACAACGTGCCTTTGTTTTTTAATTGGTTCAGGATTACCTATTTGCATGACAAGCAACATAATTCAGTCAGAAAAAATCTGTTGTGTGTATGGTATGCATAATATATATTTATTGCATTTTATAAATTACTGATTATTTAAAATTTTGAAAGAAGCTGGATTGGCAAAGAATGCCCAAGGGAAGGAGAGAGTAGTAGTCATTGCTGATTATTGTTATTTGAACACAGGCTGCCTTCTCCTCTCCTTCCTCCCCCTCCATTTTTCTTCACGAGTTCCTTTCTATCAGTCACCCCTACCCGTCCCTCACTTCCCAGCAGGAAGATACTGTACCTCCACCAGTGGGGCTGAAAATGGGACAAAATAGGTTTTGAATAGCAGCGTCAAATAAATTCAAGTGCCTTTCTAAATATATTTCAAGATTAAGTAATTAAGGATTGTAAAGCACTTGGAAAAAATAAAGTGCCATGTAAGTGCTAAGTAATAAAGAGTAATCATAACAGTAATAAAAGGGTGAACTGCTAAATCTTTCTTCCCTTCTTTTCCTCTAAGGATTTTCATCATTTCAGATTTGGCTTCTAAGTACAACTCTTTTATTTCTAATGAAGAACCAGGACTGGAAATAATAGTAATAATAATAAACACAACAACAATAGTAATAATGACTTTTTTAAGGTTCGTTTAGTGATTTAGGGAGATCATCCTCTACCCTGCCTTTCTCCCCTTACTCACACACCCACTAACAACTGGAGCGCCATCCTACTGTGTTGGCTGCACAGGAATTCAGACCTAGTACTCTCTCCAGAGGAGAGAGTTGCCCCCGTTGGTCTTAGTCTTAGTGATGACAAACATGCCCATCCCATCAACCCAAAGTATTTTTCTGATTTGTATCATTTTTCAGTACACTTGAGGCCATCCTCAGTGACCACTACTGTTTCCTTTGCGGATAGGTCATTTCATCCCTTGGTTGACTTGGCTAACAATCCCACAATATTTGACTTCTAGATGCTCTGTGTGACCCCATTTATCAAAAATGCATGATTGTGCTTGATTTTCTTAGTGGTACACATATATTAATTATTACCAGCGCTGGTTGTCCATTTTGTCCACCCTCCGGCAGAAAAACATCTTTCCTTGTTGCATATCCTCATTACTGTCCATGTGGAGATCTCAAAAAGTTTCAAAAAGGTCAGTGCTGCAATTTCTGAGGTCTTTGTCCTCACAGGTATGCAGACTACAAATGTGACTTGAATAAACCAGGAATATAACTTGGCCCTGGAGCTGGCAGGTTTTCAGCCTGTTGTTTGGACATCCAAAATAAAGATGCAGGGATGTAAGTACAAATTTGTCAATTTTTTTTTTTTTTTTTACTTTTTTCAAACAAGGGGCTCTGCCGCCTGAACTTAATGTGGAATGCTAAAGAATTGGCATTTTCTATACTTTCTGTGGATTATCCCTTCACATAGCACATATGACCAACTTGGAAACTTGTTTGACCGCCATTCTGGGAAAAGGGCAGAGGAATCTGTGGAAATGTTTAAAGTTTCTTCAGTTGGAACATAGGAGATAATTTTATTGTGACCTCATGAGAATCTGAAATTCTCCAATAAATCTCATTTTCAAAACACCGTCCAGGGATGGGTAAGATTTCATTCTTAGGAAAATACAATTCTTTTAAGTTTCCAGAGATGGTCCCAAAGCAATCTAGACGTCAGGCTTCAATACCCACCTTAAACACTTTTGGGCTTTTTCTTTATTCATAAAAACATTCACATTGACTCTGAGGTTTCTTTCATGTTTAGTAATGTGGGAGGCATGAGTAATTTAAAGCCGAGGAACAGACCCAAAAGGGGCAACAGGAATTTAAAACCAGGTGAGAAGTTTCGAGTCTATAATAAAAGTCTAACAGGCAAAGTAAGAAGTTCTTTGTTTGAATCTTAACTCCAGTGATGATTTTTATTGCCTGTGACTTTGGTCAAATTGTTTATCCCTTGTAGTGCTTTGTTGTATTAGTCAGTTAGAATGTTCAAAGAGGTGGTGTGAGGATTAGCAATAATTACTTATAAAAATTAATTTTGACATAATATTCTAATAATCTTAAATGGTCTTTAAACAAGCCTCCTTAACTTAGAAAAACATTATGAGTTATTTTATGTTACAATACAGAAGTGATTTAGAAAGTAATTATATACAGAGTAAATTGTCATAAACCTTCAGAACTGTGGAGTTGTAACTCTTGTTTAGATTTCATAAGGTGTAAACGAATCTGGACATTTGGAAGAAACATTTTTATTAAATTCAAGTGAATTTCCTGAGAAGAAAGTTACCTCTTTTCTAGACTACTATAAAATATTTAAAATCAGTAAATATTATTTTTGTACTAATATTCTTTTCTACAAACTTTTTCCCAGGAATCTGCAAATCGCAACTCTAACAAGACTACAAAACAAAAGAAAATGATATGGAATTGAGGTGTGACAAGAACTTACCAGTCAAAACTGGTATCTTTCTTTTTTTACTTCACAGTTTTTGCATAGACAGTGGTTCTGATTAAAATCTATGATGAAAAAAAAAATAAAAAAAAAATAAAATCTATGATGAGGCAAATGAAAATATGAAACACAGTCACCCAGATTCTTTTGAAATTCAAAAGAAATGGGTGGGGGTCAGGGAAGAGAGTAAAAAATTGAAAACAAAGACCTGACTCTCCCAAAATCTGTTTTATAGACTTTTATAAGGTCTCATAGAGAAATACAATATGGGAAACGCCTTCACGTGGTAAGTTACCTAAGCAAATATTCAAACAAATGAAAAAACACTCCTTATAGCAAAGGAGACAGACATTCAAGACAATAAGCCCTGCACTCCCATTCGAGCTCTCAAATACGGGCAGTCAGATTTTTACAAAAACATACATAATTTGTCAGGAATAAATCAGATTACAGACTGCAGGAGCAAGACAGTTCATGATTTACTCTAGACCTAACACACTTCTTTGCTGGTCTTTCTCCTCCTTTAAATATTCATAACCTTTGGTCAGTCTTAATTAGGTCAACTGGAAACATTCAGTTCTGCCATTTTTGTGGGTGGTAGGGGGACTTCATTTGCCTTAGAGGCCTTTTGAATTTCACCTTTGCCCAAGGGGAAGGACACTTCTTGACTGGACCCCACTCTTGGGTGCCTTTTGAAAGTGCTTAAGGGCGCCTTGGAAGAAGACATATAGAGGCAGCGTCTGTGAGGGTCCCCAACAGATTGTGTAACTGTTGCACAACCCATGTGTACACGTGTGTCACTAATTTAATTTTAATTTTACTGTATGCATTTGTATAAGATCCTGCAGCTGTCATGTGTTCATCATCTGTCACTGAACTATCACTAAGCCATGCTGGGCTAAGACAGGATTATAAACGATGAACTGCCATGTGCTCTAAATCTTCTTATTTGCCTAGCCTGGAAGGTGTGCCCTGTAAAATCTGATTGGCAGTGTGCTCTACACTGGCCATTGACTTTTGAAGGCCTTTTCTATTGGTTCTTTGGGCAGCTCTCAGTGGCTGTATTGACCATCACCTGCTGATTCCTGCACGTGCCTGACCTGCAACCTCCACCTCTTGTCTTCCCCCCACTTGTTTGGTTACAGCTCAGAGCCTGCAGCAGGCCCTGTGGCTCTGGTGGCACGTGCACTCCATGGGGCATATGGCTGACTGGTTGTATGCAGAAGGGGATGACTGAAGCCAAGCAGACCCGGCACTGTTATTACAGCAGATGGGGGAAGCGTGGCATTCAATATTTAGACAGATGCCACCTCCTTATTCCACCTGTCTGGAAGTTGGACATTGTACAGAACGAACTGTCTGCCTAATGATGAAGGAAACAAAGGGCACATTTATGAAGCACAGCAGAGCAGCATATTTACCGAGCCTGCACAATGCAATTGTTGACCATAACAATAAATATAAACTGCTACTGGTCAAACGGCTGATACTTGCACAAGGACAGGGGGAGCCGGGAATTGCTACTTTTGACCAGCTGTTGTGGTGTGTTTAATTTTGATGATTAAGGGCAATAGATGGGACTCGAAGCTTCTAATGAATGCCTGAGAAAATGAGATTTTTCTCAAATGAGAATCCCTACCCTTTTCTTGCTAAAGTCTCCATAGTGAGGGTCATTTCCTCTCTGATTTGCCTGGATCTGGAAAACTGGGACCTTTAACTTTCTCAGCTATAAATGGTTTCTAACCAAGCAGAAAATAAAGAAGTTTTCATTGTAACTACTACTATTTTGGTGTGTTGATCTCAAAGTGAATATGCCCTTTACCTTCCATTGAAAAATGTGTTGCTGATCCATAGCAATTTATAGATTAAGTTAGAAATGAAAAGTAATAGTATAATATTATTATTGGGGGAAGATCATTCAGTATGATCCTTTGTATATTTTAATTTTAAATTGTGTTATCCCTCCCTGACATTAACTTTTTTGGGGGTGGGAGGGGCCAGTCCTACTCTATGTGGAAGGGCTGCTCCACGTTTTATTAGTAGTCAGCAAGTGGGAATACATACGTAAAGTGTATGAATTTCCCATAGATTTCTCACAAGCATAGAAGTTGATTAGCTTGTTAAGAAGCAAAATCTTGATAAAATGCATCTATTATTTATTTATTATTATAACTACAGGCAGAAGACAGAAGCCTTCTTTCACAGGGAAATAGTACATGAAATTCTCCAAGCCAAAATGTTGAAGGCAATGACTGATGAAAGGTGATCCAAAGTTGCACTTTTCCAGAAGCACAGCATATCACCCCTGCTTAGAACAGGCCTGTGTGATAAACCAAAACCCCATTTTAAAAGATTCCTCAATATCGATTACCAGGAGCACTGCTGCTCTGGAAAAACCTGAAAGTATTATTTTGGGGGAAAGCCACCAATTAACAACCTTAGCTGAAAAAAATCACTGAGACACCCTTCAAGACAGTGAACTTCTCATTTTTGTTTCATTTGCATCTAGGTCTAATTTTTTTGGGAAGCATCATTTTTTGGCTCATTTTTCTTCAGTGATTATTTCACATTAAAACCCCATCTGATGAAAGGCATATGGAAAGGGAAGGGAGGTCATTCCTAATTGAACAGCCTAGGACTTGTGAGGTTAATTACAGATATTAACGGTGCGATTCTTCGGCTTCTTGCCCTCAAGAAGCCTCTAGCTTCCAAATGACCTGGCTCCAACAAAGAGACTCTCTTTAGCCCATTAACTAATTGATAAAAATGTGAGTGTTTAGAATGAGTCTAATTAAATCACCGAGCCTTACAATTGCTAGTTCATTTGGTAGCTGTTGGGAGATGGGTAACCTCAGCTGGCATTGTAGGGGAATAAAAGATAAAAATAAAAGGCAGCTTAAGCAAGATCATTTTGAAAGCTGTTCATTTGAAGACAAAGTACACATTTGCCTGAAATGTCTACATTTGCTACTTCAAATGCATTCCCTTTCTAGGGTAGCGCAATCTCTGAAAAAGAAAGTAATGTCTTTTTTCTTCTTCTTTAAGAGCAGGCATGCTCCACTTTGTCTAATAAAGTTACATGAGTGGCTGGGGAATTTTTTCTGCATTAGCATTAAGCTAAATTCCTTTAGAGCTTGGAACACTGAAGTTTGTCCATTGAGCTTTTGTTTAAGGGCCGGCAAATGTCTTGAATAATAGACATTTAAAAACCCAGAGTGGGCTCTGGGCCTTCTACTTTGTCCTGAGTCTGTTTCTTACACGCTGATACAGCGGCAGGCCTGATTCACGACCTTCTTGAAGGCGGCAAGGCAGGAGCCCTGCCCTGGATGAAGGGGCGAGAATAGAGACTCAACCGGGGCAGGTCCAGCAGAGCACAGAGGACTCAGTTACACAGCCTGACGGTGCCTTTTTGTCCCCAGTTGAGAGCCTTTCGTAGTCTTCTTAGTTGGGGATAACACAAGGATCATGTGATCCTTCTCACTGAAGTTTTTAAAGCCATCTAGCCATCAAAGAGCCAAGGAATTTTAAAAGGGTGGAAACGTGATTTTGAAGGAGCTATTGAATATTATCCTTCATTTATTAAAAAAATGCTCTATAGCTTAAAAGTTAATTTATCCTTGTATATCAGCTAATCTAGACTGAGGTCAGACATAAATGGGAAATGGAATGAATAGGAATGAAGTTGGATGACAGACCTCTGTTTTCTATAGTGTCTTTGTAGTCAGTGCTGATAAAGATAAAATTGTGGTTTTCTGAATAAGAATGAATACTCCGTACTTAATCAGATGTTAGTGTCTTCACCATTAGCTCTGAGAGATGGTTATTTGTTATTGATGGAAGCATTCAGATAATGTCTAAGTAAGATATGTTCCAAGCTAGTGATATCAATGAATGGATATCCATACACATGTATATATACAAGAATACGTATATGTCAATTCTCCCTAGACACACTTATTGCCAGAGGCACTACTATTGACAGTGGACCACCCATGCACCCTACATTAATATAAACCCAAGCAAAAAGTGTTAAAAGCACATTCCACTTTTTAATCATTTACTTCTAGTCTCCAAGAGGAGGTATTTCCTTTCTGATTATCCTGTCATTCAACTCATGCTAATTAATGAGTGTAACAGAACTTTAGCAGACAGTTTGGTTGCAGGTGTATTCAGACCAAGGGAGATTTAATTACTTGCTAATTGCCTGGTGTCCAAGGTAACATAATATTATAGTTGCAAATGCTATGGTATTAATCCATCTTAAATAAGTGCAGCATGGCTCAGCCTCTACATTCAGAGACTCCTGGAGGACGCAGTTGGCATTGCTACAAGTGCATTGAGGATGGGAATCATGTCTTTTGTGTTTGTGACTGAATGCCTAGTGTCTGGCACAGGGCAGGACACATAGTAGACACTCAGTAAATATTTATTATGTGAATGTGAATGAAAGTAAGCCAACTAACTACAAGTATGGTATGAATTAGCTGAGCACAGAAAGGAAAGCTGTACTTAGGAAGTTAAAAACAGAAGTAGAGGAAAAAAGGAAGAAAATGAACATTTCCTGAGTACTTTCTGCTAGTCAATACTTTCATTTACCTAAATTATCTCATTTTATCTTCTCAGCAGAGTTATTGAGATTATGCACTTTAAATCAGAAAGATTTTGGTTCAAATCACAATTCTACTTCTTACTAGCTCTATATCCTTGGCTGACTCATCTATAAGCTTCAATTTTCTCATCTAGAACATGGGGTGTGTAGGGATAATGCTTTAAGGAATCGTAAGCATTAAAAAGGATATATGAAATGTGTGGTGTATGGTAGTCAATAAAGTGGCTATTGGTTTTTGTTTTATATTGATATACAAAGAGGCATTAAATCTGCCCTCTTACAGACTGCATACTTGAGACTCAGAGAGCCTAAATAATTTTCCAAAGTTCACAGAACTGACAAGAGACAAACAAAGCAAACTGACCCAAATGCCATTCTTTTCCATGACAGCAGACTACTCAATACCTATTATCTGAGTAGATGTGGTCGATGCCACTGAGTCTGCAATGCTAGAGCCCCTGAAAGTAAGCTGGGTAGTTTGAGAATCTACACTCACCTTTGGATCCCAGCAATCACGG